TATACTACGGGACTAGTATAAAATGAGTTTTATCTGTTTCTTGCAATGTTGCACTTGATGCAAAAATAAAAGCTGTCATGCATTTCTGGCTTCCTTAAACTCTTGAGCAATTGAGGGGGAAAAAAAAAGAGAAAGCTCTGAAGCAGCCTAATATATTCAACAGGTATAAACCTTAACCTTTGCTAATGCTAGTCTAGCTATCATTAGCAAATGTCCAGCTTTTAGCTCTGTAATTATTTAGAGAGTATACAGGCACTTGCCAGGGTGCTGGTTAGGGCCGATCTTCTGATTCAATTGCCTAAGTGAAGGATTGGGTTGTGGAGGAAGTACCTGCTGAAGCTACTCATACAAGCAACACAGAGCTTGGGAAGAGGGCAGCTTCCTTTCCATGACTAAAGAAACATCATCCTGAACATGTAAGCTGTATACACTATGAACTTGTTTTATGCACCACAGTGATGTTGTTTTGGCAAAAGAAAGACTAAGTAGCTGCTTAAATAAGTACCTTCCCTGGCTGGGAGAAGTATTTCTTCCATGTGTGCAGAGAATAAAAGTGCTTTTTTTGCCACACTCAGGCTACACGTTGTATTATAACATGTGGAAAAGCAGTAAAAATACCACAAATAACAGAAAGCCAACCATATCCTGGGCTGCATTAAAAGAAGCGTGACCAGCAGGTCAAAGGAGGTGATCCTGCCCCTCTGCTCTCATGAGACCTCATTTGGAGTACCGTGTACAGTTCTGATGTCCTCAACATAAAAAGGACATGGAGCTGTTGGAGTAAGTCCAGAGGAGGGCCACGAGGATGGTAAGAGGGCTGGAGCACCTCCTGTATGAAGACAGGCTGAGAAAGTTGGGGCTGTTCAGCCTGGAGAAGAGAAGGCTGCGTGGAGACCTCACAGCAGCCTTCCAGTATCTGAAGGGGGCCTATAAGGATGTTGGGGAGGGACTCTTCGTTAGGGACTGTAGTGGTAGGACGAGGGGTAATGGGTTTAAACTTAAACAGGGGAAGTTTAGATTTAGCTATAAGGAAGAAGCTCTTTACTGTGAGGCTGATGAGGCACTGGAATGGGTTGCCCAAGGAAGTTGTGAATGCTCCATCCCTGGTGGCATTCAAGGCCAGGTTGGACAGAGCCTTGGGCAACATAGTTTAGTGTGAGGTGTCCCTGCTCATGGCAGGATGGTTGGAACTAGATGATCTTAAGATCCTTTCCAACCCTAACTATTCTATGATTCTATGAAAAGCATGCTGAAGTCAGATTGGCTGTTCTGTACTAAGTTTCAGATCCATACTTCAGCCAAAAGTCTAAACAGAACCAAACTAGTCTTTAGTCTTTGACAGCTTATGCTCTGTACCAGTCCAGAAACACTAAGAAACAATTTCATTATTTCCTAATAAAGGAGGATTGTGGCAGGAAGCTGGTGCAGGTGCTAAACTTTTAGCCTAGAGAAAAAACAACCAATAATCTCTCACAGTTTGCTCGTAAAGCAGATGATGTAATCTGGGTATGAGATCAAGTTTGGTTTATTTTTATTACTAAATTGCTCTAAGATTCCTTGGTCATCATTTAGCAAAAATGCTATAGATGAGGGCCAAACCAAAGTAACTTGTAGCTATTTGAAAGTACATAGCCCCTGAACTCCCACTTGTAACTAGCCCTTCGCTGTATGGCTTTTTCTTTTGCTGTGTTGTTGTTTTTTTTGTTGTTTGATTTGGTTGGGCTTTTTTTATTATTATTAAACAGACAAAATATAAAGTTGTGTGGAATGAGGAGGGATTATAAATTACAATCTATAATGACAAAAGTATACTTTAGCCAACAAGTACACATATTGGAATTCCACATGCTCACAAAATACTTTCTGGAAAATAGGAAAATGCTCTGTTGAAGACAACTAAACAGTCTAGTAGAGACTACACAAGTTACTTCTTTTTAAGCTTAGTTGAAGAGAACTGAGAATATAAGAGCATGAGACTATACCAACGTGAAAATGTGGTTTAGCACAGAAGTTTTATTATGTTACTACAAGAAGATAAGGAGAGATGCTGACTAAGCTGAAAACGTGCATTGTTTAGGTTAACAAATACAGTCAGTAAAGAAAGAAAACCTATAAAACTATTCTGTCCTAGCCTCTGTGACCCATGCTATGGTCAAGTGTTTACCCAAAGCCTAAGGAAAGCTGACACCTATACCAAACTATGCAGCTTATTTTCAATAAAATTACCTTTATGTCATTAGCTGCCACTATTTCCTTCATAATTACTGTAGGCAGTACTTGCAGAAAGAAAAATCCCTTTTTATCTGTTGTAGTAGTATTACTTGAACACCAAATGATTTTCTCCTCTAATCTGTATGTACTCAAATCGGTAGCTGAATTCAAGCACTATACTCAAGACATTGAAAACAATCATAGCTCTGGTTAGATTGCAGTTCAAGTACTTGAACTCAATTTGCCTTTAAAAAGCATATAAACTAAGGTGTTCCTCAGATGGTGACAACTCGAGGCATTTTTTTTTCCTCATTTATGTCTTTATTTTACATATGGAGTAATTAAAAAAAACCCAACAAAACCAAAACAAAACAGCATGACAGGCCATTCAGTCTTTGGAATTAAAAATATTAAAGTTCATAATTCCAGAAGCTCATTTCCAGAACATGTCACAGAACATAGTGTTACAACTTCAAGAAAGAAAATACTAATAGTTAAAGACTACTTACAGATCATGAAAAGCAAAAATAAACTCCAACCAACCAGAACACCCTGGTTTTTAACCACCCAAGTAACTGGTCAATGAAATCAAATGAGACTTTTTCAGCTCTCAGCTTTACCTTTAACTGTTCTATCATATATATTAATGGCTTTTTTGGGAGATACTTTAATTAGCCATACAGCTTGGTAACAACTGCAATAAGTTTTTATTTGGCCTTGGAACATGGAAACCATCATCTAGTAGAGGAAGAATTATATTAGTAATTGTTTTCATAATCATAACTTAGCCACTCTAGAAAACATCAGCATATTTTAATGCAAGTAATGATGCAGCTTGACTAGCCATTGAAATGTGTCTCTTCCTCATGGAATTTTAACTTTGGAAGAATGACATGAAGTCAAGTCTTTTATTGATAATCAGAATTATTTCTCCAGCTTATCTCTAAACAGCAGAATCTGAACCACAAAACCCCCAAGTTATATAAACTCAAAAAAACCCTCAAAAAACAAACAACAAGAATCATGTGTAACTGTTTTCCTGTTCTTTTGTCAACTTTCCAGTAACAACCAGTTACTAGGGTTCATGCTGTTTTCCATTATTCACACCTTTTAAGTCTATTAGAGAAAATCAAAAATACACCTTTCTCCATAGCAAAGATGCTGGCTTCCCAAAAAACAGCATCAGGCTACATATTCTGAATTCCTTTCTCACTCCTTCCATTGGCTAACTGTTTCTCCAAATATCAGACGTCTTCCCTTTATTTCTCAGTCCTTTTCCATTTCCTATGTTTGCAGCTGATGGGTATTCTAAGACGTAAGAAAAGGTGAAAGGCATTAGAAACAAGTCAGATTCCATTTCTCTGCTGCCAAACACACTTCCTGAATCTAAACATAGAATCTAAATAGGACCTAAATATAGCAATCTCTGCCTCCAGTTCAAAGTCTAAGTGTTATAGGGAAGGCAGTACAGTATTAGGAGCAGACAAGTACACTCAAGTGAGATTTTCCAGTGCTACTTAATACTTTGCAGTACATGAACATGAGTAGCTTTCCAAATTCTTCCTATATAAATGAAGATGCATGGAGATCAGCATTCCATTAAGACATATATATAAGACTGAAAAAACATTTAGCAGCACAAGAAAACCGTTAGAAAGCTGGCAGCTATCAATTTATTTTGCAAGGACTAACATTCATTGGCAAGTGAGTTGGTCACATTTTACTTTGCATATAGCACAATTTTACTGTTCAAAGTGTCTACAGAAACTAAAGGATGTTATCAATATAAGCCTATGATTCTAGCATTTTACTCAATCATAAACCCTTTATTTTTACCAAAATAAGTGGAATTCTGCCTAAGGGAAGTAAAATACTACAGAAGTTTTACAAATTTTAAGTACTTCATTTTTACTATCTCCTGAGAAGTAATCAACAGAGGAACTCCTTGCTGCACCTGTGCATCATGTAGAATATTTTAGAACGTTAAATTAAATACCACCTTTGAACATAGTCTGCAAAAGTAAGAATTCTTTCTGAAGTGGTCAATGGCCACCTATTCTGAAACAAAGAATCCAGATGATCTGTTTGGGTATCAGGAAACACCAAGATTGAAACATGAAGCTAATTCATTTCGTAAGGGTTTTATCTGAAGGACAAAACCTTTTGTTACCTTTTGTTACCTCTAAAAAGACAAAAGTCTTGCAAATCAGAATGCATGAATATCTTAAGCACTGTACATAATAGGCAACATTTCAAAGGAGTGAACACTGGAAGGATTTCAGGAATACAAAACGAGTTTGTGCATTTCTAAAATTAACATTTACATTTAGGAGAAAATTAGATTTTATAGTTTATGTGAAGCATTTATGTTTTGACCACAAAGACAGCAAAATTAGAAGTTAGTATGAGACATTTAACTTGAAGAGCATAATTAACTAAAATGTTAAATATATTATTTTACCACAGTTTCAAGCTATAAATCAATTAAAGCCTTAATTGCATTAATTTTGGTTTGTTTTATTTCACTTGCTGAAGGCTTTTTGGTAGCAAAGGCTCCTGCTGCAAGTTCCCTCTTCTTGTTCTGAATTTTCAGCATATTTTCTTCCACTGAATCCTTCACAATGAACTGAAATACAAAAAAAAAAAAAAAAGCCACATTGAAATGTTGGGAGTTTTTTTTGTTTTGTTTTGTTTTTTAATTAGAAGTTTAGGATGAGACATTTACATACTTCAGGGGAAAAAAATAGCTGAGTAAGCCTAAAGCACAGTTACATTTTTGTTATTACTTTGTGAAGCAAACACGAGGCGGAAGGGTTATGGAGTAGAGCTAGAGAAAAAGGTTTTGTATTTTAAACATACATGCCCCCCTTTTTTAACACTTACTGGAAGAATATTTATCTCTTACTTGCTACTTATACGAGAAGAGAACCAGTCTTCAATTTCCCAAGTAACATTTTTTGTGACCGGCTATTAATGAGACATACCAGCCGCTCTTCTGCAGCTGATCAAGCTGCTATGACAAAAGCATTCCACATACTTTAAAGACAATAAGCTAACAGCCAGGCCAGGCAACAGCAATACTACCCCATCTTATCACTCCAAACAGCTTACAACAGGGACAGCTGATTTCTAAAATTATTATTTCATGGGAAATAGCTTACATTTAATAAAATCTTACAATCAAAAGCCCACACTTCAAAAATCACATCAAAACTTTTAAGTTTACTGGTGAGACTATGATGTCACAATTCTTTTTAAAATAAAGTTTTTTTTGGAAAAAAACATATTTATTCATAACCAGAACACTGGTCCAACAGATTATCTCTCAGCTCACCTTAGTAATAACAACATTATGCTTCTGACCCAGCCTGTGACATCTGTCAAAACACTGGTCTTCTGCAGCAGGATTCCAAGCCTATCAATAGCAGTAATGAACAAGTTAAATAACCACTAGTCAAAATACATAGTAAGATGCTCATAGATTCACATGGAAGTTATCTGATGATGATGGAAGTACCACCATCTCTTGTACAAATACTGCTTGCAGGTTTATTAATTGCAACCTAATTTCTCACTTAAGAATCCCAATACAAAGAAAGCTTCGAGAACTTCTGGATATATATTCATAACAAGCAGGAACTTGTAAACAAGCAAATGCTTTAAAAACTAAGTTTGTCAGGAGTCTAGAAGACATCAAAACAATCTTGTTATCATTTTAATTATGAAATAAACACCATATATACTAACTGCTTCAGTACTCTTTTCCAAAATCTAAACCAGCTGAACACAGGCAGTTAATTTATCAGTAGACTAAGTCTCCTTAATGTTAAAAAGGAAGGCCATGTATACTTCCACTAGTACTTGAAATAACCATCAAGGGAGTTAAAACAACACAAAATAATAGTGTAGCTGTTCCTACTTATGCTTAGGATATAACACTAAATATAACGATTTGGGAAATGCCAGGTCTGCTCTGCATTTTTCCAGCATGTTTTTTCTATTTAAAGGTGTAATACTACTCGTATTAAAAATAAACATATATTTAAATCTAGCTAAAATGTAATCATATTCTCCCTGTGATAAGCAAGTCTCATGCAATGGGCTCACCTTGCCATGTCACCCATGTAAGGAAAGTTATCTAGGAACTCTTCTTAACAACTCCTTTCTATAGAATGGGGGAAGAACAGCACTAGGCTTGCACAAAAAAGGTTATTTAGATTCTAAGAACCTTTGATGCCTAAACACACTTAAGACACTTAAGCCTAAGATAAAAGCCTAAGAAGTCTTGCTTCTCCAGTGTAAGATAGTGAGCAGAAGTACAACAGATGATGTATCTGTCACCACAAGATGAATATTCCTGGCTATGTATGGCAAACTGTTCCAATGCTAATCTGACTGTAGAAGAAGATGATGTCTTGAGGAAAGACCTAGCCCAATCATGCACGAGCACTTTCTATTCTATCTTTAGTGTAATCAAGCAGGAACAAAGTATACTACTCTCACTCTTCTCTCATCAGTCCAAAGGAAAACTGAATTGCAATACCTTTGTGCCTTTCTGCAGTATTTCGTACAAAGGATACTGTATTTTACATGGGAAAATACAAAGAAACTTGAGCCTCAGAGAAACTTGTATACTTGTGATACTCTCACACTAAAGGTTTGTATTTCTTCCTAAAGGTGAGAATTCAGCAGATGCGATTATATTTAAACATATAACTGTAAAAAAGGTGGGGGTGTAGTCTGTGGTTGGGTAAATGTTACTCCCCTGCACTGTGCTATAACACCTCTCAGCAGACCTCTAAGCTACAGTTCTACAACAAATCCACAGAATCAGTAGAAAAACTGTTTTTTTCCACTGGCTCCAGAGGTATTTCTGCTTCTTAAATCCTATTATTGCTGCTCATTCAAGGAATGCATGACCGCATTTCATTCAGCACTGAACATTCAAACATGAGATCATAAAGATCATGTGGTCCCACTGCCTCTTCATCGAAGTAGTCAACCACTGCCACTTGGGGTGGCTACCATTTTAAGATGGTTACCAGCAGGATAAGTTGTTGTTCAATGGTATAGGTGTATAAAGGCTGCAATTATATTTGGTTGTGGTTTGTGAGATACAACTATATACTGTCGATGACTCAGTGTTAACAATGCTTAGCTTATTTTCTTACAGCTGCTTGCCGGAAGACAGTGTATGCATAGCACCTTGGTATCTTCACAGAAAACTGAAATTCTTTTGGACTTCCCATAAGTTTTCTTCTTCAGAGAATTGCTAAAAAAACCCAACAAACAGCTGGACTAGATGGTGGTGTGGTGCTGTATGTCCCTTCCAATTGAACTATTCAATATAACACATACAAAAACAGTACTTATGAAGATGTACCACAATTCATAAGAAACCTTTTCCAAGGCAACTGCTCCATATTCTCGCTCATATTTAATTCCTTTAGTTTATTAAGTAAATAGTTTTTGTCTTCATGATGTTGTCACCACTAACCTGATGTCTAGTACTTTTTCTTTATTTCTGGTATAACCAGATGCCCAAGTCCAAAGTTACACTATTACTTTAATTTACTTTGGTTTTGTTTTCAAGTGCACAAACTGCAGAATTCGTCTCAGTTTCCAACTGCCACAAAACCAGGACATCAGAGAGAGGAGTATAGAGTGAATGGGGAAATTCAGTTTTGTACAATGACACAAAAAGACAAACTAATTTAAGAACATCATTTTGCTATCAATAAATGTAATTTACACTTTTATTCTTTACAAATGATTTTGCATTCCCAAGTGCTTTAATGAAAGGAAAAAATATCACAAATTTAGGTATTACCATCTTTCACAGTCTCCTACAACTACAAAAAAAGTAACCTCAGACTAATGCCTGTATTTTTAAAATAAATTCACAAAAATAACAGAAGAGACTAGAGCAGAGAAGCACTACATTGTAACACAGGAAAAAAAATTCACTGTTCCTGAATTTTCACTTTATGGCTTTTGAAGCTATTAAACAGAACAAACAGAAAAACACATTCATAAGTATCAGAAAGAAAGAGAAGGAAATAATGAAGGAACAGATATCAAACGCTACACTGTGTCACTGCACTTCGTTAACAATATTTTTTTTATTCACAGTAAATAATAGCACAAAAAATTGTGTTAGAATAAAAACATGCTAGGGAAACAAATTAAGTAAACCCCTATTTGCCCTTTAACAGGTACTCATCAGTGTCATTGCTTCTCAGAGGGGCTTTCCTTGTACCTCCTAGGAAAACACCAGAAGGACATTCACCTAGATGTAAGCCAGATCATTACGAACAACCTATTACTCACGGGATCCATTAAAAACACTCGGGAAGCTGCTGTCAGATTTAATCCAACTCCACCTGCTTTCAGAGACAAAAGCATTACAGTTGGGGATCCTGCTTGGCTGCTTTGGAAACACTGAATTGCTTCTACTCTTTTCTTCTGTGCCATTGACCCATCCAAACGAGTAAAGGCAAAACCTGATTCTCTGAAGAGAAAGTAAAAATGTTCAATTTACCAATCCATTTTCTGTAATAACAGGAAATGAATACATTAAAATCCCAACCTCTATATTGAAATAATTTTGAGAAATTTTCTAAAACACTGTAGAAACATGTTTATTAAAAATGACAGTCATTCTACTTACTTCAAGGGATTTTCTATCAGTGACAGGAAAGTTGTAAACTGAGAAACAACCAGACATTTAGCGGTTGGATCATCCCTCCGTAGTTCTATCAAAGCATGCATGAGAGCATTTATCTGAAATCAAATAAAGACTTATGCAGCTTATTCTGACTTGATTAGATCCTACTCCTATAGGTGCTTTGATGGGTTCACATCAACTGAGAAATCACTGTTCTGCAATATCTTTTAAATGAATTAATCTTAAATTCTGTGGGTAGGGTTTCTTTCAGCTTCCAAAGGAAACTAAGGGTTGAGCACTTTTAATGGTGATTGATGGTGCTTTGGGGAAGAGGATTCACAAACCAATTTTCCAGACATACTTCTCCCTGTCAGGGGTAGGTAAGGTCCAAAAAATAATAGTACTGGAATTCTGAAAAGTAAGGCTTAAGAAAGGCACAACCATGAGGCAAGTGTTCTTAGCAATACTCAAGAAGCAAGAAAGGCTTCCCCCAGGAATATTCAGGCAAGTAAGTTACGCAAGACCCTTAGCTAGGTGTGACAGAGGATAAGGAGGCACCAGAAGCACTCTTGAGACCAACATGAGAACATAAAGAACAAGGAATTGGATCTGAGGCAAAAGAACATTGCCAGTTTTCTTGCGTAAGGTTTAGCTATGATGATATAAAGAACCACTAACTGAAGAAGGCAAGTAACTGCACCAGGTAAAAAATAAAAATTAATGAATAAATAAATTTATTCTAGAGCACAATGTCCTAAATTAGGTCTCAGGTCTCCACAGAAAAAATTTTAGGGAATAAATTTATAGCCAAGTTTTGAAAGTATAACAATTTCATTACAAACTAAAATTAAAAAAATTAAAGTTTTCAGAAAATCAACCTCAAAACAAATAGGTCAAAGTACAAGCAGGAAGATTTAATTTCTTGCAGTGATGCACAATGAAGGTGGGGCAAAAAACGTGACAGACCTTGAGCAACCGGTCTGCAAAGCAAAATCAGTATCTCGCTAGTTTATCTGACAAGTGTTATACTGAACATATGATGCCCAGTTAGTTTTGCCCTCTAGAGCAAAATACATATTCTTTAGACAAGTTTTAAGAAAAGATTTATTCAGATTTTTAGTTTCAAAAAGTAAATTAAGAGCTGAATAATTTCTGCTCTATAGTAGTTCTATACCCACAGAAACCTTCAGAAACAAAAGGCAAAGCAACAGCTCTTTTATCAAAAGTCTCACGTAATTAGTACACATCTCTGTAGAGCACAATGTCCGTCACCAAATTACAACTGGTGCTCCTTTTCTCGTTTCCTTGCTGCAAAGTTTGTGATGAGATTTTATTACATATTTTCTCCTGTGCTGACTAGACTGTGAAGACTTTCAAACAACAGTTATGCATATGTAAAGTATGTTCAGCATATTTACATAAATATTCTAGATAGTGCTCTACAAAACCATAACAAAAGCCAAATAAAACACAATGAAATGTACCTTTGAACTGGATATCCACTCCTGATCAGACTTCTTTTCATTACTGGAATCTATTTCCCCTTCTAGGGGACATTCCACCAAGTCCTCTGCTCGAAGCTGGCTCCTACAGAGAGGGCATTTGGCATTTGGCTACAAAAAAGCCCAAGTGACATTAGAAGAAACATATTACACCAAATTATTTAGTGTGCTAAAGATCACCTTTTAAAAGTACCTTTCAGGAAATTATTGGTGTTCATACATAAAAAATGTCCTCAAGGAGTCATTCTTGTTACACAACTGCTTTGTCGTTTCTGACACAACAATAGAAACATTTCTGAGAATGTTAGGTGACACAAATGCTACGTGTTTTAAAACCACTCATTCTTCCTTAGAAGTGGTTGTCTTTCTGACCATATTTTTACCTGAAATAAGCAGCTAAAGATTTAAAAGCAAATATTTGGGCTATGGGGAGAAGACTAAAGTATCAGAAAAATAAACCATTTTTCAAAGACAAGATCTTTCTTAGTTACAAACAATGACTTGTTACCCTTCTTCTTCAAAGCCTGCACAGAAATAATAGCAGTTTGATTAAATATGCTTTGTCAGGGCCAGACACGGGGTATCTTTTCTTTCTCCCCAACAGAGATGAGAAATGAGGCATTAATTTAACATCAAGGGGTTTTTTTCCTCTGAAGCGTACTTTAGATAAGGCAGAGTTTACAATTTATGCAATAGCACTTCCATGAGACTACACACAAAGTTTAACAAAGACTGTATGCACTATGCAAATACATGACTTTGCAAAGCAAAAATGACACACACGAAAAACTTTTGCCTAACAGCAACCTTTTAAAATTAGCTAACTCAGTTTATACAGCAATCTGGCCACAGAACCAAGCCATCTTTAAACAGGCTGCGAAGCACACGTCACAGAGCAAATGAATACTGGGGGCTGCTAATCTGGAATGAACCAGTTAAAGAGGCTGGCTGTCATAGTCTGCATACATGAATTTATTGCAGCAAGAAAGATAACCTTTGAAGAGACAAAATCTTAACACAAATGAACCTGAAGTAAGTTCCCAAAACGTAGTTACTACTGAACCATTCCCCATTTGTCAGCAACCCAAAAAATCCTCCAATAACAAGACAAAATTAATGAATTCTAATAAATCTAATAAATATGAAAATAAATCTGGAAAAAAAATCCTAACAGTGCTCACAGAGTTTTCAGTTTGTTATACACATCTTTCTGCATCCCTTCTCCAATTTAGTACTAATCAAAACCACCACAAAAACCCAAAATGCAGCTAAACAATGCCAATACAAATATGGAAGACTTGGAATGAAAGTATGTAAGAGTGAAAAAACTGTCTCGCTATCAACAACTACGGGAAAAAAACCAAAGTTTGAACGCATATCTAGAAAGATTTTTTTTTTTTTTTTTTTTTTTTACAGGAGTGCAGTTAATACACAGAGACATTATATATTAGATTTCTGTAGAAACTAATTTACACCTTTATTGGGACTTCTGAAGCTAACCTGAATGAAAGACTGAAATTATGGTGTTAACTCTCAAGCTGTTAACTCCCAAGAAAGTTTCTCCAATTTCAAGATATATTTTTAGGTCAACATCAGAAAGATAAAATGTTTTCCAAGTTTGTAACCAATGAAAAGCCAAACTTGTCACTCAGCAGTTTTCAGCTGACAGCTTCACATCCTATGCCTTGCTGATGGCTTAATGTTCTCACTTGTATTAATAATGGAAACCACAGGCATCTTGCCTGGAAGAATCCTGTTTGAATCCAAGCTGTTTTGTAGGAAGGGGTATGTTTTAAGTTGGTTTGCTCTGTTTTAAAGGTGGTAAGTACTTTCCCAAGTAGAGTTGCATAGTAACCAGTCAGGCACAGGAACTACCCAATTGAGATGCAACACTAGCACAAATACTTATTGTCGAAACAGTGAATTCCCTAACTCTGGAATTTAGATGTCTGTCAGTGCTTTGGCTGGAAGCTGCAAAAACTTCTTTGGAAATTGATTTAAATTAGGAATTATTATGAACATAAGAAAAGCTTACTCACTGCTTTAGAAACTCATGACGGTTCAAAAGAGCAGAATCTACGCTTCACTACTGTGTAAGCAATCAATGGAACAGCGTGGGATTGGACAAAGACCCCTGTTCTGTAGATTCCAAGGTCCCTTCTAGGCAAAGCATAGTAAATAACTTGACTGTACAGTCAAGTAATACAGGTTCCATCACATCATAACCTGATTTATTTCTCTGCATGCCTAACTACACCTGAAGGCTAAGTAGGGGCACTAACTGTACTACAGACAAATCTCTGCACTGGAAAAAGGTTTCTTCTCTATTCTTTAGAGAACAATTTCACATCACTAGTTTCCCTCAAAATTCTCAGACACTTTCAACTGGGATACCTGCATCAGAACCTTGCATGTCTGGCAACAAAACAAAGTCAAACCACACGCCAGATAGATAACTCTTCCTAACTTTGTCCTGTTGGGTTGACTAATTATGCAGAAGCAGGGACTAATTTGTCCCCTGCCACCTCCTATAAAGAACACCACCTAGGTTTAGCGTGACACTTGCAGGTCTACTGTGGCTAAGTACAATTCCAGAAAGGAAGTGCCACAGCACTGGATACTGATGGTGAGATTGCCACACTATCAGATTGCCCTAGAAAGGAAAAGGCAAACAAGAAGAAAAAGTATAGCTTAGAAGCACAGAAGAAAAAGACATACTATGTTTTTCAAAAAAGCAATCAGAAGACTTATGAACAAGCTTATTCCGGAGACAGTCCAGAGAAGGGCCATGAAGATGCCCTCTAGCAAGGCAGCTATTTCACAGCAGAAGGTTATCAACAGTCAACTTCCAATACACAACTTTGGTCTCTTTCAGGCACAACAAAATATACATACATGACATCACATCAAAGCAGTAAAGAGGCATCAAGCCATAAGGAGGAATACAAAGTAAAGTGAGAACTGGCAAAGATGTCTTTGAAAATACTGGTGAACCTTAAAACTGTTCATTTTGAAAGCCACTCTCAATAGTTTGACTTTAGGCCAACAGTTTTTATAACTCCACTGATAACTAGGTTTACACTGTTCATGTATGATTTAAAAGAACAATAGCTAGATGTCCTTCTGGTGATACCAGTTCATCACTTTCAAATAGCCATTATAATTAATTGCAACCATAGAACAACCAACCTGTTCACTTCTAATGACTTCAAAAATACATGGCCTACAAAACACATGCGCACAGCGTGTTATCACAGGAACAGTCAGCGATTCCAAGCAAACTGCGCATTCTTCATCTGAACCAGAGCTCAGAACCAACTTCATTTTACTCACTAACATCTCGTGCAGTTCTTCAGGAGTTTTATTATCTGCAAGTATAAAAAGATACTTAGAAACAGAGATTTCTATAAGGGAAACACTCTGAGGTGGCACATATCTAACAGTTCTATTAATCAAAATGCAACTAGGACAGTTTATACACTATGAGGATATAGGCTACAAGGTATAAAACCAGAAACTGGCCAATACTACAGAAAATTCCAACCTACTATTTCAAAACACATTAAGAGTAATCTTACTTGGAAAAATGGTAATTAGAATTCTAAGAACCTCGACTGCATGTTCAGTCATAAGTACGTGTACAATACAATGCCTAATGGGAACAAGCAATTTTCACATGGCAGCTGTTTAGGTAGTAACAGTGCTACAGAGTTGACATAACTTATGGTTAAGATTGCTTTATTTTATTTTTTTAAGAAATTCAAATCATACTAGTTACTAATTAACTTCTAAATAATTGTTGAACAATTATCCAGTCACCTCTCCACCCTGTATTTTTCAGGAAAATAGATTACAACCTTCTAAACAAGATTCTGACCATATCTCATGGTCTTTTGGTTTCCTGAAAAAAACACGCCTATAACCAATGGCATCTCAAAATAGGATCTTTCAAAACATCAAATTTGAGAATTCTCAGATTTAGAGTATTTTAAACAGACTATACTTTCTTCTGAAAGAAATGCATATAGTTTTTAACACTATGCAGCTGTACAGTTCTGGCTTGTCAAAAGTTAAATTTCATTCTTTTACCCTTCCTTACAGCCATAACAAAGTCAGTTTCCTATTCTGCTGAAGAGGCAATGGTTCTGCTGACAGAGCTACCAATCTACAAGCCATTTCCAAAAGCTCCTCTACATCTCCTCTCCTGAGACAAAGAAAAAAATTTATTGTAAAAGCACTTCTGTAAATTATTACAACAGATACACTGCTATTTAACAAGCCTTGTGCGTTTTGGCTCTGTAGAGGTCCTCTTTGTTCATATCTGAGTATGTCCTAGGGTATCCACTTCTCAAACATATGGTACGAAAAAAATAAAGGTAACAAAGCTAGAAGTTCAAAAATGCAAGCTGAAAAGAGGAAGGCTGAAGCTAGAAAGCTTGGAAAACACACAAACGTGTTTCTGTTCTTGAATACAAAGTGCATGTCCTGTTTTTAGAGACACAGTGACCAAAAGCATTCACTCACCAGCTGAAAAACTAGACGAAGACGTATTTATACAAAGACGAGGATGACAACAAAGCTGCCTCAATCTGAGGAGGACACCAAGGATGTCAGCATAGTGAGCTAGTACAGTCCCTTCACTGAAAAATCTGAACATAAATTTTATTGTTAGTGTGAAATGCTACAGCCTGAAGTAACAGATGGCAGCAAATGATGAAGTCTGTTACAATGATATTCTCATTTTTCACTTTCATATTTGAATATAATTTTGTCAAGTCCTCTTCTGTAACAAGGTACAAAAGGCTACCAGTAGCATGTTCTACTTAGAAGAAATACTAACACATGGTTGCAAAACTTTGAAGGTCACTCTTTACATACCCAGTGTCCCTTTCTAATACATAGCTCTGCAATTGTCTCTACTTCACTCTTCAGAGCTGAACGGATGCTATACTAATTTGCAATTTTTAGCTTACAGCATACAAATTGATACACTTTGCTAGTAGAACTAACATAAAACTTCCAAAACATTAAGTTTGTGGTATCAAACTCCAACCTTCAGGATTAAGAAAGCCTTCTACTTACCTGCTAATAGCAGCTTTGCCCTCCTTCTTCACAGACTGATAGATTTGTCTCTCTTCCTCTGTGAGTGTAACATGTTGAATGAGTACTTTTCGTTCTGGTAACTCCAAAACACGCTTTCCTTTAACCTTACTTTTTTTGGTTCTTCTAAGGGTAATACTCCTAATCAGACACTGTAAACGCCTAAAAAAGATGTATATCAACAATATATATTAAGCAGCTGGGATTGGTTCATTTTCACTTTTGTTTTTCTAGTTTATTGCATAAATACATGTTCCGTACAAAAGTCAAGATCAATAGTACAATATAATTAATCTGAAATATCAAATAATTTTAATAATTTAATATTAATTATAACTACAAAATGGAAATAAGGACTGATAACAAACACATTTCAATTTCAAGCGCAAAACACTAATTAGTCACACTGCCGAAGCACTGCTGGTTATACTCTTTCACAAACCCTTTGGGAACACGTCATACCCAAGTCCTCCTGGAGCTCCCATTGTGACTGGACGTTGAATTGTTCTGTGCCACCACTCTCGATCAGTAAAAGGTTTCAGCTTTAAGAAGGAAATAAGTGACCACAAATCCTTAACAGAATTCTGAATAGGAGTGCCTAAACAGAAAACAAAAGATTGTAACACCTCAAAGAAAGTAAAAAATACAAACTATTAATCAAAGTTCAGTGCTTTCTTCAAACCATACACCATGGATGAGGTCTCTCATAACTAGGCTGACATGTCATTAAGTATAATACATATGTTTTAATTGAATTATCACAAAACACTTAAATATATAAGTAAGAAAACTGCAGCTCTCTAGGAAGACTTGGATGTTCACTTTTCCATTTCAGCTTCACCAGCAGCAGTTACATCACAATATACTTTAAGTTACATTTAAGGATAATACACTTGCTTGGTCCCTCGCAGTTTTTAGGATGACTATTGCATTTCAAAAGCTACTGAGGTTTCAGTAAGTACATAAAAGTGTGAACTTCTAAACTTACATAACATGCCAGATCATAACTAGGTCCCTTTTTCCTTGCACTTCTATCAAACCTGTGTATCAAAAGTTATTTTAAAATCTGTCTAACTGAATAAAAACTGAAAAAAAACAAACAAAAAAACCCCAGCAAAACAAAAAACCCAACCCCCACACAAAACCAAGCAAACAAAATGAAAAAAAAAAAACCCAAACAACTAAAAGAAGACACACCTAAATCGCTGCTAAAACACAAGTTTAGAAACATTCCAAATGAATCTGAGGCAGACAAACATTAACCCAGACATCTTCCAGAAGTGGAAACATCAAGCAGAAAACACAGGATGGTGTTATACTAAGACAATCTACACTGCATTTCCTCTGGTGTCAAATATTTTACCTGTAAGTATCCATCTTCTGTGTCCATTCAGATTTAAGGCAGCTTTAGTTTGCTGAGCATTTGGATTCCGTATAGTGTGGCCCTCATCCAACACAATTCTCAGCCACGTGACTTTGTGTAGAGGGCTGTCACCTCTCATCTGAAACACAGTATTTTTTTTAATCTTTGACTCAAATTAAAATACTTTCTTGCAATTTGAATTAAGCAAGCTATTAATATAACAATTCTGTAACTAATATTGGAGAGTATTTATGTACACCTTATATATTTATCAGTACAGAAGAGCAAAACTAAGAATGAGGCATTCTTCCTTCTAGATTTAAGGATTCCTGGAAAATATTACCAGTCTTCTCGTACTTAGTATGAGGAATTAGCTACAGCAAAAATAGGTTCAGCTGGAAAAGAAAGGCTTCAAAGACACAGAGAAATGGTAAATTTATCAGAGAGCTAATGTTATATGTAAAGATGTAAATCTTCAGGCTTTTAAAAAGGCTGGAATTTCTATAAAAACATGACTTTACAAATACATCTCGTGCAATAAGCTACTTGGCTGCAGCAGCCTATGTCAACAAGAACTATGGAACTACATTTTTACATGCTCCTCTTCGAATTTAATAGGTAAAGGCAGAAACGGAACCTCACACCACCAAGATTTGTGAAGATTTACACACATTCTTTTCTATCCTTAAAAAGTGTCTTCCTTAAGTTATCATAATTGCAGCCAAATAGTTTTCTCTACAGATGCAATCAATTAAAAAACAAACAAAAAACCAAAAAAAAACCCCCCCCAAAAAAAAAAACAAACCACAAAACAACCCCTCTCTTGGTTATCACAGCAAACCAGTAAGAAAGTATGTAAAGCAAAACTATAATTATAACCTTTTGATTACCTGCCAGAATAGTACTTGAATATACTGCCATCATTAGCCCAAACACTAGAAATCCTGAACAGTAAGGGATCTTCAAAGAACACTTTTTCTTATTTACTTACTCCGTAATCAGTAGCCAAGATGTTGTATGTTGTCAGTACAATGTCTTGTTCTGAAAGAAATGATGGGTCTCTGCTACGGTCAGAACCGTAATAAATATAAATATTGACATGAAAATCTTGGTGAATGTGTTGTTCAAACTGGTCCTGAAAGAAGAGTTGCCAGAAGTCACTCAAAAGATACTTCGTTAACTACATGATTGTTAGAGTAATATTCTGTTAAAGTTGCCTTAGCTAAAAAACAGTTCCCCTAGCTCTGTGACATTCTACATCCACTTTATATAAACAAACGCCATTTGAATCTGGGTTTCTTTTTACCTCTCCCCCCAGGTGAAAAGAGAGACCAGAAGAAGTCACCTCAGTCATTAGTAATAGATACAGTATCACATTCTGGTAACTCTAGCTCTACTTTTTGCACAGTATTAATTCACATCCTGATGGTATACGCACTTCAAAACCTGCTGTTCCTTCCAACCTATAATGGAAGAGCTTTAATGTTTCTTCTTCACTTTCTACCTTCATCATCTCTTTGTTCATTCTTTCATAACCTTACTGGGTTAATGAACTACATTTTAACATAAATAACACCACAGTTGTTGAAGTATTCATTTTAACACCAGTGTTTACATATTCCCTACATTTGTGCTGTGAAGCACTCAACATACACTGATCTTGACAGCCAATAAAAAAAAACCAAACAAAAAATTTTAACTTTTGAAGCACTAGAATCTCGTTTTCTTTTTAAATACTGATTTGGTTTTGAATTGATAAAAAGAGTATTTATTAATTTATTTTACATGATCTGATGTTTCCCAATTATATTATTTTAGTGTTTTACCTACAATCTTAGATTAACTTCTTTCATTTTCTTACTAATGTTCTAAACACAGACAGCAAAAGCTTCCAGATAAAACACAACTTGAAAGTTAAAGAGATCCCCTTAGTATTTGTATTCAAATATCATGAAAACAAAACAAAAATTAACCAATGCGGAGACAGAACTAGAAGAGTCCTTCAGCCTGTTCGCCCTAGCAGACCTACTCCCACAGATCATGAACAGGGTGCCAATAACACCTCTAGTTAATGTCACATGCATTATCAATAAAGTACAATTGTATTTTATTCTGAGAATGCAAGAAGAAGGACCTGTCTCTTTCACCTTCTTCATCTGGTTTAAGGAGTTAAATCACCCAAGTTCCACAAGTGCCAAAGTGAATCTGCCTAGTCAAAAGCAGGAAAGGGAAAGTGAGCTCACTACTCATGGAACAGCACTCTCATTACAATACTATTCCAGTTTCAAAAATTTCTATCAAATAAACCTCCCTCATGAAAGCAGCTGTTTCATAAAAAAGGAAAACCATGATTTTTACTTGCATGAGACACTATAGGGAATACTGTTTCTACTGCATCATAATCAACACACATCACATATACACATTTAGAAAGCTCAGCACTTACAATCCAGTTGCTTAAGACAGACAGTGGACATACAATCAGCGTTGCTCTGGGGCCATCAGCAGAATATTTCTTCTCAACGGACTGAATGCTAGTGATACCTAAGAAAACAGAAGTCCTATGTAGTGGCGTAACAGTTCACTTCAAAGCAAAGTAGAAGTTAAAAAAACTTATGGTTCTCTGAAAGTCCTTTCTAAATTTCTTCACCTGCAGCACCAAAGCTATTTACAAAGACATCTATTAAGTCACATATGCATAATACTTATGCCTAAAAAAAAGTCAGAAAATAGTATTATTTTTATTCCTTCATTACCTTTCCTCTTTGTTCGTCTTTTTAAAGAAGTAGATGAAGGTAGAAGAACAGATGCAAAGCCTGGATCTTCTTGGAGAACACAGGAAGCTGCTTCAAAAAGCCCAACACACAGAGATTTTTCACACCATGCAGATCATACATGTGCATTTATTTTTATGACACATTTCATCAAGCCCGTTAACCACATTACTTCTCCTTTCCTATGCAGTAATGTAGAATATCACAAGTTGGAAGGTACCATAAGGATCATCAAGTCCAACTCCCTGCTCCTTGAGGACTACCTAAAACTAAATTATATGGCTAAGAGCATCATCCACATATACCTTGAAGTCTGAGAGGCATATGTGCAGAAATATAGTATTTTATACATCTGTTTCAGGTTATGAGTCTTCAGAGGAATGCAGTTTACCAGTTGCTTACCTTAGCATACGTTTCCCTCAGTATTTTAACCCTAAACTTGACTGCTTACTCCAGAGTGCCATTAGCCCCTTTTTTTTTCATGTAAGATATTTAGTTCAACAAATGACGTGTTCTTGACTCTTCAAGACCACTCTTAAGGTATTTACCACAAAAAAACAACTTAATTTTTTAAATTTGTTTTTCCAACCCTAGTGCCCTGACAACAGGTCTATGTCAAACTATAGAAGTCAATAATTCGTGTTTTTCACCATCTGTTTTACCCTGCTTATAGCTTGTTATACCTCCTCTCCTTTAGCTAAGGAAACAGACTGCAACACTTGAAACTAGAATGCTGCTTTCCTTTTCAGCAATGTGTAAAATTTTCTGCTTAAAAGTTCTGGTTGAGCAAAACACAAAAAACAAAGCACAAAACCCCCCAAGTTTAGTTAATTCCTTTTCTGGTTAATTAGAAATCCTTTTCGGGTAGGCTTCAGGAAGACAGACATGAGGTGTCACAGTAACCAACTAACAAAAAGAAAATTCCTTGCAACTTACTTTTGGTTTGTTGCAGTATCAATTCTTCAGACTCTCCCAAGTCACTGCGTCCTGAATATCTGGGTTTCTTGGCTTTATCACTAAGGTATCATCATTAAGATAGGAGAAAAAAAGAGAAAGAAAAAAACCCCACAACTCTACTACTGCTTGAATTTACATATTAGATCTCAAAAGAATTAAGCAAATGAACTTGGTATGACAAACAAGATACCACTATGATTTGAGAATTCACCGATTATAAGGATTTGAAAAAAGAAAGCACAGAACACAGAGCTGCAGGGTGAATGATGCTCATAAAACTTGGTACAGATTATCACTGAAGTTCACAGCAATTATAAGAGGCTAGTGTGCTGGGAAAGCTCAAACATGTTAGTAAGCTTCACAACTTCATCAGCTTAAAGCTGTTCCTGACAGAAGCATGCCTGCAAAGTATTTCTGAAACACTTAAAAACTCAGCTGATACTAGAAGAAAAATTTACTTCACAGAATGTTTTTTAGCATGCAACACACTGATATTAGACACCCTTACTAGTGGAGACATGCAAGCAAGCAGTCCCACAAACCACGTTGAATGAGTAAATGCTTTTTTAATACATTTCAAAGTGCAACACAGATACAGAACACTTATGATAAATGTAAGCAGAACTACAGCATACTGAAAGGTGAGGAGAAAGCAGGAACACATTTTAGGCTAAGGTTAGTAATAACCACGTATCACTTTATGTTTACTCAAAATCTATGCATCGAACCAATAAGAAGATTATTCTAATCATCTACCTTTTTGGAAGACAATTTGAGTATTTCAGCAGAGTAGTTTCCAACTTTTTTATGCTAGAAACACCAGGGTCCATCACGTTGCTAGAGTCTTCATAAAGAAAATGGTATTTATGAAAAATATACAGTCTTAAGCTCAATTATCAAACCAACGTTAGCATAAAACAACTCAATCAAGAACAAGTGTGAACTTCCTTTAAAACAACCTTAGTTCTGCATGGGACAAGTGCTACTGATACTGTGATCAAAAATGAAAAATAAAAATACTCTTTAAACAATCCTACATATTTATGAAGTCCTAACGTATGTACGGTGTTTGCAAGTGGTCAAAAACAAACCGCCAAGTAAAAAGGAAAAACACAAATGTAAGCATTGCACTGTTAACAGTTAAGTTCTTTATAGAAGTCTTAAAAAATGCTAAATGACTTCATTAATTAATAACAATCATTAACTAGTAAGGTTTCACCTTACTAATTTCTACATTGCTTAAAGCTAAACGAAAAATGGCAACATCAAAAGAAAAAATGTGGTAACATCACAGATGCCTGAGTGAGGCGTTAGGGGAGTCACAAGGGGAGTTGTTTTGGTTTGGGGGTTTTGGTGGGGTTTTTTTTGTTTTCTTAAGGTCTTCATCAGCTAGTGAACAAAACATCACCTCTGCACTCTGTAGATCAGAAACAAATGCAAAAAAGAAAATACATCAGGACAGAGTTGCTATCAAAACTGAAGGCACTGGTGCTTGCAGAGTTTTGGTGTAACTCAGGTAAGTGAATTCATGCTTGATTCCAGATTTAAACTTTAATACAGATTTAATACAATCCTGAAGATGGCAAAATTTGCAAAGACTCAACAAATAGATATCAATTTAATGTATAACAGAATGAGAAATGTGAGGCAAGGGGTAATAAGGGTTTGAAATATGTTATCACTTTTTTTCATATTAAATAATAGTAGAAACAAGCTCTCCCCTCACTGCTGTAAACAGTAACTCATTAAAATGGTTGATGTTCTGGAACAAAAAAAAAAAAATTTGGATGCTATTAGGTTTTTCAACTTTGGTAAAGGTTCTATTTTTCCTGAGGACAGTCAATATAGACCTCATGAAAGTTTGCTTTTCCTCCTTTCCAGAGTACTGATAAAAATAACTTTCACGAGAGGCATTTTATACTAATGTGTTCTCTTCTTATCAAGTCTCTTTCATTTATCCTACTTTTACATCTCTTTACTGTGAGAGTGGTGAAGCACTGGAACAGGCTGCCCAAGGAAGTTGTGAATGCTCAACCCCTGGCAGTGTTCAAGGCCAGGTTGGATGGGGCTTTGAGCAACCTGGTCTAGTGAAAGGTTTTCCTGGCCACAGCAGTGGGGTTGGAACTAGATGAGGTTAAGGTCCTTTCCAACCCTGATCGTTCTATGATCCTTGTGCTATCAGTTAGACTATCTGTATTAAAATTCCTGCACAGGATAGTGAGGAAGAGGTACTGCAAGAAAACTTCAAACCCCATACATTTCTTTCATCATTTTCAAGAGCGTGAGGAGTTACAAAACTTACTAACAGCAAGTATAATTTTTCATATACATCTGTATAGTCTCCTGATACAACCTGAAAGCTACAGGTGTGACAAAATCCTTCTAAATACTTGTCATTCACTCATTACTTAAAAATATATTTAAAAAAAAAAAAAAAAGGCAGTAGCTTAATACAGAACCTAATTGCAATTATCTACTAATTCTTAAACAAACAAGGTTTTAACAGATGCATAAGTGCTCCTGTTTCATCTACAAGGAAGGGAAAAGGAAAGCAAAAGGAACCCAGAATCCACTTCTGGAATGTGATAACTTTCCTGGCAGGGTTTGACTTTCTCACAAGGCACTCATCTTTTCATATGTCAACTGAAACATTTTTAAAGGTATGTTTTAAATACCTCTCCAAGATAATTAGTTTGTCGAGAGTTTGTGAAGACTAGCACTGACCACAGACTAAGAGTACTCCAGATCATAACATATATTATCATGCAAATATTACTGGACTTCTCATAGTTTGCTATCACCTTTACATAGTCTGCGTCCAACGCTGTTCATGCTGTTAGTACCAGATTCCTATTGAGGAATGGAAACTTTTATTCTTTAATGTAGCAACTGGAAAAAATGTCAATAGCGTTATTACACTAATCTGACCAGTGATTAATTACTGCTGTGAATCATGAAAGACTGCTCAGTGGCAAGTCAGTCACTTAAAGGTGCTGATAAAGCTTTATTTATACAAAACACAACTCTCAGCATTAATACTGTCAGAGAATATTGCATAATAAAGACCTAATCCTAGCCTTTCGTTTATTTCATAGTCTTCAAAATCATGTCATAATAGAACGAAAAAGCACTTGAACTGCACTACCTAAGAGTTTGCACATTGGTGTTAGTCACTACTTACTGTAGTTTCCTCTCCTCACTTCAAGTGTTTGGCAAAAATATAAGCCAAGATATATATATTATTTATCTGCTTTACACCAAGGCTCTCTGCTTGATATTTTGGTTGTTTCAGGCATCTCATTGAAACCACACAGGAACTACACATGCATACCCCCAGAAAAAAACACCACCTCTATCTGTGCAGTCACAACTTACCTTTTAGCAAATTTATAAGAAATTTGAGAATTTATAAAACTTAACACTGAGAAGTGTTTATTCCTCCTTATTCTTCTCTCAAGGATACTTAAGCATATACTCCTAAGATAACACAGTCTACAGGTCAATTATACACTCTGAAGTACTCTAGCCTGCCTACCTTTAATTAATCTACCCTATTCTTCCTATTATTTAACATACTTCAATAACATTCATTTTCCACAAATCATATAAAAAAAAGTTGACCATACAGAAAGTTACTAGGCATAGATTTTTGTATTAACTATATCAACGCTTTCATCTCACCTCATAAAACTTATCACTTGGGATCTTTTGAACAGGAAGAGGCTTGCCATCTTGAAAATTTGTGAGAATCAATGCAATAGTAGTAAGTGTTTTACCCTGCATAACAGAAAAGAATGTCATATCTTCCACAGAATGAACCAAATGCCCAACCAATCAAGAAACACATGCACATATTCTGTATTTAAACTCCCCACCCCCCCAAACAAAAACCAAAACAAGCTTCGTAAATATTACCAGTCCCATATCATCAGCCAGTATTCCTCCAAGAACATTTTTAGGTCGCTTCTTTTCTGCAAAATTTGTAAGCGTATTGTAATAGAAGTTACTTCTCTCTTCCCAAAATGGTGGCAAATCATTACTGTTCTCACGTGAAACCATCCAAGCTAAAGCCTGCTTCTGATGGGGAAGCAAGAGTGTGGCAACAGCCTGCAAATTAGAGATGTACTATTCACATATTAAGTATGACATTTCATTTTTGGAACAAAAAAATTTTTATAAAGTCCTTTGTATTTACTAGTATTTTTTTTTCCAATTGAAGCATCTCCTGTGTCCAAACAAAGCTAAATATGCATCTAGATGCTTAAGTATTTATATTTTTACATAAAATGTTTTCTAGCTTAAGAAATACCTCTGCTCCTTCCAGTTCACAAGTTTTATCATCTTCCTTCAGCTCCTCAAACAATTTGTCAAATTCACTTTTAAGCTGCATAAACAAACACAAAAAATGCTATTAATTATTGCAATTAAAAATAATCTCACTAAATAATCAATGACTAGTAAATTAAAACTATTTGTCATATGGTAATCAGCATAGATAGGTCTACCACTTTAGACCTGATTTGCTGGAATATATTTGTTAGCTACTGCTACGTAAAAATGAAGTTCAGGTTTTTCCAAGACAGTCACACACCAATACAAGCAAGAGCTTGAGGAGGGATGGCTAAATATATTCGGATCTTTGTACAACACTCAGTAAAGTAACTACTTCACTCTAATTTGAAAGAGCAAACAAAAAGCAAAACCAAAAATAAATTACCACCCAACCCTTCACACATTACCCTGGGCCAATCTGAAGATAAAGCCTGGAAGTCTGATTTTATTTTCACTTGAGAACATACTTGTTATGTAGTAAAGTATTAGGACAGAGACACCACTCAACAATGTAAAAAAAAAGTTACTGAACAACTATAGCTTCCCAAAATCATATGGGACTCAAGGCTGTCACAGCTAAAATGTCTCCTCAAAGTATAAAAAAGTTCAAAAGTTCAAGATGACTTCAAACCAGATTGGTGGTTCACAAAAGGGGAGGGGGGGAAAGGGCAACAGACTTCCACTTCACAAGCACTGTTTTGTTAATGAAAAAATTAAAGACCCCCACTGTTTAAATTGCAACTTCCAGGTTTTTAAATATGAAATGCAAACCTGTTCAGGTGTCAACTGCACAGCAGCATGAACTGGAGCACTGTAACTTGGACCAGCTCTCCCAGAAATCCACTTTGTTGCAAAATCACACTCTGAACCTATGTGCCATTAAAAAGACAGTATTTTGAAACACAACGATATGATGACTTCCCAATGTCAGCCTTGACTGGCTCATGAGTAACAATGCCGATCAGACTGTGGGCTATAAGACACTATCTTTCACTTTCTGTTAGCCTCAACTTATCCTTTACTTTCACTGGGCCACAAAGAATTTCTACAAGGCTTAGTAAGACTCACAGGCAATGAGCTATGGTTGGGATTCTTCAAGATGGCAACCATATTTCTTAAAAATTATTGTGTTATGTGAAATTTGACTTGGTGACAGTATAACAACTGCTAATGCAAAATCCTTTTTTTTTACTACAAACTCCTTTTCAATTAACTATGTGCAATGCAACCTGTAAGATAAAACTGAACTCTTGCTATATGTAAAACAGATCTATCCCTCACCAAGCACTTATTTCTGCTCGCATCCTTATTCCTAACTACGACTGCTTCAACAAGGCTTAGTCCCAGGAGCACAGGTGCTTTCAGTGCAAGGCTGGCTCTGTAAAGCATCAGGTCCACTAAGCTCATTTGTTCAGAAACATCTCATCTCTATTTGCTCACACCTCACTAGTAGCATACATACCCTAGCACTCTTCTAAAAAGCAGTAGTGTTCCTGAGACCCTCCCTTTATGAAAGGGTCTGACCTGTTTCTTAAAAAAATGAAAGCCAAAACTATCTAGAGAAATTCAGGGAATCATTATGAATTTTTAAAGAATGTAAGGAATCAAGTATGTTTCTGAGGTTGCTCAACTTTCTCTCCAGTTGCTTATAAAAGTTAAGAAGTATACTTCTGTGTCCTATGAAGTTTGAAATCAATAGCTGCGGGGTCTGCATTATGCCCCAACTAAGTTAAAAAAATCATTTTGTGAATGACAACATAATGACAAGGATTAAGCCCTTAAACATTTCTTCCAGCCACTGGCAAATTCAATCTGAATATTTTAAAAGCAAAAAAGAGCAACGACCCAAACCCAAAACTTGCCTTTTAGAGGAGGAGCCAATTTAAATCCATGCCTTTTTAGCTGATCTAGCACTGCTTCTTTGTTTTCTTCTCTTCCCCAAAAGCTCATTTGTACAGGCATAGTAAAGGTATTTTTTGCTCCATAAGGGACAATCCTGATAAAATGCAAGGAAAAAAACCACAACAGTGATTTTTTAGTGTTTTTTATAAAAACCTTGTTATTTCTTCAGCAAGATGTTCCAGATAGGTGTTAGTTCTCATACTCCATGAACCTCTTCTACAAACCACCACATGCAGTTAATTTAAGAGTTCCACAACAATCACTAAGGAATTTGCTCTAATGTCTCTACATTTTATCATATACAGAAAAGAATGAACTGTACGCATGTAGTTCAACAGAACAATAAAGAGTCTGAAAACATGAAACTTTACTAAGTATTCCTCTGCTCTGCTCTCATGAAGGCCCACCTGGAGTACTGCATTCAGCTCTGGGGTCCCCAACATAAGACTAATGTTGACCTGTTGGAGCCAGTCCAGAGGCCACAAACATGATCAGAGGGCTGGAGCACCTCTCCTATGAAGACAGGCCGAACGAGCTGGCGTTGTTCAGCCTGGAGAAGAGAAGGCTCTGGGGAGCAGCATTCCAGTACCTAAAGGGGCCTACAAGAAATCTGGAGAGCGACTTTTGACAAGGGCCTATAGTGGCAGGACATGGGTGAACAGCTTCAAGCTGAAAGAGGGTAGATTGAGATTAGATATGAAGAAGTTCTTCACTGTGAGGGTGGTGAGACACTGGAACAGGTTGCCCAGAGAAGTTGTGGCTGCCCCATCCCTGGCAGATGAAGTTCAGCAGCCCCCCGGTTTTTCCTCTTACATGATGAGAAACCAAGCCAACTTGGTTTCCCAGCAGGCTCCATTGTGAAGCAAGTTAATACTGCCCGAAAATGCAAAGTATTTCCTACAAAGCTGAGCATTGTTTGAGCATGTGGTGAAGGGAAAGGGAGACCTTAGAATACCTAAAGGTGGCAGACGTGAAAGCTGGAGAAGGACTTTTTACAAAGGCATGTAATGATACGACAAGGGGGAATGACTTTAGACTGAAAGAGGGGAGATTTAGATTAGATATCAGGAAAAAATTCTTCCCTGTGAGGGTGCTGAGGCACTGGCACAGGTTGCCCATAGAAGTTGTGGCTGCCCCATCCATGGAAGTGTTCAAGGCCAGGTTGAATAGGGCTTTGAACAACCTGGTCTAGTGGAAAGTGTCCCCGCCCATAACAGTGGGTTGTAACTAGATGGCCTTTAAGGTTTCTTTCAACCCAAACCGTTCTGATTCTGTATTGTAAAGAGCTGCCATGTGAGTCAAAAGACATCTCTTACAGTTTTCAGAATTTTCTAGTGTAGCAACCAAAAATATTTGTATTATTCATAGAACCAAAAGCATAATCTTCACACTTACCCTTCAATTAATGCTAGTTTGTTGTCCATAATGCCTGACAATGCTGCTGCTAGTTCTTTTTTTATATGGCCTACCTGGTCTCCATTCACATTATTCACTTTCACTGCATTTTTATCATAAGGATTATTGGGTTCCCTCTGAAGTGCAACCATTTCATTGTTATTAACCTAACAAAGCAAAACAAGCACACACCAGAACACAGTAATTTAGTTGCACATTACTTGCAGAAACATCTAACACACATTGCCTTAAATATCATTAAGATTTAAGATTAATTTGGTATAGTATTCTGTTCAGTCAGCCAAGATAGCGCTTACTCAAAATACAAAACGCATTACAGAACAGCTACCTAGGAGTTAGCGGCAATTTCAAAAGTAATCCCAAGAGCAAGACCTTCCTTCACCTGCTAACACATTTTGTAAGGGAATAAACATCCCTTTCTGTCAGTGTCAACAGTTCAAAGACCTACCTTCTTGTTTTCAGTCACTTTCATTTGCCTTATGTGGATGAGCAGAGCTACCAAATACCTAAACCAGATTTGAGAGCTTGCTACTTAAACTACATTTTGAATCAGAATGTTTTATATTAAGTACTTCCTGTGAAGAATGTTGAAACAGCAAGCTAGAAGAAAATATCTATCGTAATTATACTTAGTCAAAAGTTCCAGAATTTTTTCAAATTTAAGGAAACGTATTTCTTTCTGAAGCTCACAACTTTTTCTTCTGCTTTATAATACATCATGCACTTACAATTCCTGTGTAGTACCGCAATCCAACAACACTTCCTCGCAAAGTTCCATATAAGACAGCTGAGTCTGTGTCCTCCTCTATTCCAGATGTGTCACTTACAGAGAAGTCTTCCAAACCAAGACTGGTGGAAAAGCCAGAAGACGAAAAACGGGAATAGTTTCTCTCTTCTCTGCAGATGTTATATTGAGAGCATCCTCTGGCAGAATCTCTGCAGAAAGACAAAGTGTGAAATATTTGACAATAACTTTAATAGCAATAACAATAGAGGAGTTATTTCCTTGTAATCTATTTTACCCCTTTATATAAGGCTACCTATAAACCCCAAGTTTTACAACTTTACTCAGGTAATTTTTACCTGGAAACATGGTTGGGGGAGAAATGTTTTGTATTAGAAGAAAAAGTCTACCATTTTTTCATCCCAAATAGATTAGCTTAAGCCAATTACACTGAAGCGCTTGCCAACTTAACTGACCAAACTATGGTATCTGTGCGTTCCACCCTACCTTCCCTCACAGGCTTATCTTTGTCAACAACATCGAGAATTCTCCAGATTTAGTTACATCCCTAATCATACCTGGCACAGTGAAATTTCCATGTATTTTCCTAACACATTTTTCTCACCTAAGAAAAAGATTAAAAAAACCCCAAACCTATTTGTAACTGTTTAACTCGGTGTGGCTTATAGCCACAAAAATTGAAATGCTAAAAAAACTCCACATATTTCATATTAAATATTTATTAAGCTCACTTTCACACCCTGACATGTATTATTGCTTTATAATAAACTTCAGAGATAATCAGCTGCTCTAACCTAAGCCAGGTAATTACACTATGTATTTCTAACACAAACTTCTGCTAGCCAGGCTTCCCTTCTGGTGACAAGATACACCTACTAGCTCACATTATTACAGATGAAGAGATGGAAAGATCTCAGCCTACACATTTAATGAGCGTTTGAGTGAAGACTGACATACTAACAACTGTTTTTAACAACAGTACTTTAACAATAAAATCTCAATATAAGTTTCAACTGACACATAACAACCATAACCGTTGGTGGATCACAAAACTACGCTTCTGTGTTGCTGGATTAATTTAAGAGTACTGCCAATTTAAATAATTAGATACCATGCACTAGCTATTCAGAGCTTGGCATAGCAAACTTCGGTTTCTTTTGCAAATGATATCTAAAGTTACTGTTCAATCGGCATTCTGTTTCCTCAAACACACTGTTTAAGAGGCTTTGCTCTGCGCTAACTGCAGACGAACCAGCAGGGGTTAA